AAAAATGCAACATTAATAACAATAAGGGCGATGAAGAAACTTACTAGGATTTAAGTGTTAAATTCAATTTCTTTAAAGTCACCACCTTCTTATTTGATTTTTTTGGTATCTTCAACTTTTTGGATTTCTTCAGAATTTTTGATTTTTGGATTTCATACTTTGACAGCTCCAAAATTCTTTAAACTTTTTGGTAATTTCTCTCTTTTTTTTCATCTCACTTTTTTTTTCTCAAGTCCTACAGGCTTAAGCAAGGAGCTTAACTTCAACCTTTATTGGTTAGAGGTATTAGTCTAAGTGCAATGACTACAGAAGCTTTTCTGGATGGATTTCAAGTACATACTGCAAAACTTATTACATCATATAAACTACCAGATTATCTTTCATATCTCATGGCTTTTCATTAATAATGGGAAACCATAAATACACTATAACATATGTTGGCTCTGGTTAGGCTTTCATCAGATCATCCCATACAATACTAGCATTAAGTTTTTTAACTGACTAGATTTTCCTAAATTAAATAATTATTTTAAGTTTATAAATTTTTAAACTTTCCTGATCTAGCAATTTTAATTTTCCAATTTAAATTCCTTTTTCAACCCCTACCCCACACTTATTTCATACAACGTCCTCATTATGTAACACCCAAAAATTCAACTCCAAAATTTTCATTTCAATTAAGTTAACATAAGAAAACCGATTGTATAGAAACATCCATAGTGTCATCCCATATCAAAACCAGTATGTCAATAATCAAAACATGTCATAATGAAACATCATCAGAGTATAATCCTAAAGATCTCATGTGCGGAAAACATAGAGTGATGCGCTGTGATCATGTCGACTCCTTTCCTTTTGAAGAATAAGTACCTGAAACCAAAATTGAAAACCGTCACTACTAGAAAAATAGACTTTTACGACGCGCAAACCACGAAACTCATTGATTTTTATGTTACGCAAAAGACAATGACCTTAAAATAGTGTCATCTCTCCAAAAAATTTAAGAATTTAGGACACGCATTATTACGTGCCCTTAAATTAATGTCTCAATAAAAAAATTAAAAACACGGAGGGCGCTTTAACTTAAATGTGCATCCTCTGTAAGTGTCGCTTTATAATTTTAAGGAAAGGCGCTTTTAGTAGACAACGGAGGAAACGAAATCCCAAAATTTTGAAAACCCGCCTTGTTCTTTTCAATCTTCTTTCTACCGTTCATCTTCGTAATCGACTCTCCCCTCTCCCTCCTTCTCTCTCCTCTCCGATCCACTTCTCTGCTACTTGTTAATCTTCTCATCGGATCTCTACTCGAACACAAGTCAGTACTGGGAAAACCTATGTCGATTCTCTAGGTTTTAGCAACAAATTTTTGGAGATCAGACGCTTACGGTTCTGGATCTCGCCTACGATTGAGTGTTCCCAGTCTCGCTCCACCTTCGGTCTACCCAACTCCATCGATCTACTTCTGGTTCCCCTTTTTTAAACCTAGTAGGTGATTTAGGGTTCTATATACCATTTCAAAGTCATCTTACCAAATCAACATTCCCTCAATTTCGATTTGATGCAGGTAATACGTGACCAACTACAAGTCTCTGTTTCTTTATCTCTCCATCTCTCTCTCTCTCTCTCTCTTATAGATACATATACATATTGCGGATTTTTTTTATAACATCGATCTAATACACAGACTAAACACTGGTAACAAAAGATATTCTAGTTATGAAGCTTCAGATCTTAGGAGGTTTACAGTGGAAGCTACGACCAGTGACATCCAGGTTCGTGTAATGGTGATCTGTAAAATGATTGTTTGATTTTGTACTGTTAATTATGAAAATGACATTCTTTAGTATGGATACAATTTAATAAGAATATTTAACTGACAAGTAATATGCCAAATTAGAGAAAACGTTTAGAACAATAAGCCTACCGATACTTTGTAACGCTTAGCAATGACATTGAGATAATTTTGGATTAGAAATGAAAACGTGAACATAATGATCTAACAAATGTATATAAATAATTTCAACATGTATCTCTGAAAGTGTTTTTCGTTTATTTTGAACCTTGCTCTTGACTTCTGTAGGTTGGTGGAGTTACCCCAAAGAAGGGTGGAACGGAGCATTTAGGGCTCCCTGCTTTCATCTCAGTTGCAGATGAAAAAGCTGAAACCAAGGCTAATGCATCTGTATATGTGCCTCCACCATTTGCTGCAGCAGCAATCATGGAAGCAGTAGAGGCTAAACTGGATTTGATTGTTTGCATTACAGAAGGAATTCCAGAACATGACATGGTAACCTGCATTTCTCATCAATATGTTGGGCTACTTGTGCTTTCAATGTAAGAATGTTATTGACTGTTTGTCCCTTGTAATCAATCATATGCATACAGGTTCGTGTAAATGCTGCTCTTCTTAAGCAGTCAAGAACTCGGTTGATTGGACCAAATTACCCTGGTATCATAAAGCCTGGAGAATGCAAGATTGGAATCATGCTTGGTTACATTCATAAACCAGGGCGTATTGGAATTGTATCTCGATCTGGCACACTAACTTATGAAGCAGTAAGATATTCTTGATTTTTTCTTAACTTATTGTGTTTCCAACATGAATATCATAAGAAATTTTGTTACTTAGTTTTTTAAGTTTTTTGATAACATAAAATGGTTCTTCTGTTAGGGTTGCTTTAAAGCACAAGTGTATGGCTATGTTAATTTATTGCTGAGATTTAAGCGTAATATTTTCCAAATATGAATTAATGTTCTATTTAACTTAACTTCAACGTTAGCAGTCTTATTTTTCCATGTCTATTCCAAAAGTATGATTTTTCTAAAAAACGTTGATTTTTTTTATCAATTCTATGTTTTGGTAAGCAATTATACCCATCTAACCTGCTAGAAATAAAACATAACCCAAATTCAACCCATTTTCTCACATAAACACATTGAAATCATGTCCTTAATTTTACATTATTTTTATTAGGACAATGGAAGTGCTCATGTATATGTTGTTGGAGCTCGTGGTGCTGCTGGTTTGGTGTTAACTGTTGGAAGAGAAGTATTTGAGGAGTCAGGACGATCACTTGTTCGTGGAACATTAGATCATCTACAAGGTCTCAAGGTATAGAATATATTTATTTGTTACATTATTTTTGTGTATGCATATAAATGAATTCATGATGCTAAGTATGGATTATAATGTCATTGATTTGTAGATGCTTGGAGTCAAGAGAATTGAACGTGTTCTTCCAATAGGCACTCCATTAATTGTTTTTGGTGAGGTATGTGTTAAATGAATTCATGATGCTAGTATCACGCTTTATGACGAGTGAATCTATTATCTCCCCTGCTATGAAACAATAGATCATTCCCCAAGAAATCCTTCTATCAAAAAAACAGCCTAGCTTTGTATTTGTATAAAAAAAAATAGGCTAGGTTTGTATTTGTATCAAATCTAAACACTTAAAGAAGAGAAATCTCTTAAAGCAATAATCTTTTTTTTTAATTTCTAGGTTCTGTATTTTCATACTTGCTTTCTCAAAGTATATCTACTTTTTTTTTTCATATACCATTAATACCTTTTGGATTCAATTGTTTATTGTCTTTATTTTGCATTTTCCTTCAGGTCCTTATGATCATACAACCTGTGTGGTGATGAAATGAAGATGCTACCTTAACACCAATGACAAATCCAAAAAAAACAAACAAACATACACATGGTCACATGGACACTTTTGTTTTAGTGGTATTAGGTTTGTGAAATTAATATTGTTTTCATCAGGTAATTAGTAATTACCATTAATACCAGAATTACCCTTTGAGTTGCATGGATCTCATGGTTTCCTAAGCCATCTTAAATCTTTGCTTGAGACAAAAGGCTCAGCTGTCATTCAAGTAGCCGAGGGATCTGGTCAGGTTAATCAAATTTTTAAAAGGGTTATTTTTATTTTCTAATTTTTTATTGTTTTTTTAATTTAGAGTTTTTTGGGAGAAAGAAAATAAAAAATATGCATATGTGAATGTTAAGGTCAAAATCTGGTTACCCATGTGACCTTATAAGCTTTGGAGCATAAAATACTGGAAGAATATAACCTTTTTTTAGAAATTTATTGTGATGGTCTTTGTTCATCATCACCTATTGTGACCTAGTTAATTTGATATTTCTGATGGTGTATTATATTTATGATGTGGGTTTTCCTGCATGCATTTCAGTGAGTTTGTAAATTGTATACAATCCATCAAAATCTTATCTCATCAAGAAGTTCAACAAATGGGCTTGGAAGGTGATTATGGATGGAATAGCGTTCTTCAAAACCAAGCTTGCAGCATGTTGGTGATATAGAAGTGGTTATTGGTGTGATTGAGAACCAAGGGCAAACTGGTAATTTTGTCACTGAGAGTCAAGAAGATAGTGATGTTAATCTTTCTCATCCTTCTCTTTCGTGTAATGCAGTTGTTTATTATGGATTTGAAGCTTCTAGAGATGAAGTGATGCAGGTGGGAAAATCGTCTCCTAATGATGAATTGTGGATTCCCAAATTACCCTCCTTCAAGTTATCAAGTCTTTATTTGTGAAATAGTTTTTTTGTATAAAACACATAGTAGATTAGATAAATGCAAATTTATATATTGTAAGAAATAGAATTGTATGACATTAAATTTTATGCAATGAATTGTATTTTTTGTATATTGTATTTTATTTCTATTATGAGACACCAAATACAAATTTAATTTAAAATTAATAAATATATAAATATATTTTTTTAAACATTTATATTTACGATACGTAAAAATGTGTGTCATCTTCATTTATGACATGGCCTTTCTTGATAGGGTTTTAATGATACGCATTGCGTGTCATAAATGCGCGTCGTAAATGTGCATCGTCTATAGACGACGCGCAAAAGCGTGTCGTCTCTCGTTATGACAGGGTCTTTCTTAACACGCATTTGTGCGTCGTCTGAGCGTTTTATGACACGCATTGCGCGTCGTAAAAGGTTGTTTTCTAGTAGTGTGTAAGCACGAAGCTTAGTGAGTTCCCTAAATACTATATACCATACATATAAACATATTGTCTAGCATATATGGGTGTTGGTCTACCCCTTTGGTCTCTTTCAACCGGATACTGTCTAGCATATAAGCACATAAATCACATTCTGACATACATAACCATGAGCCATACATATCATTCATATATCTTAATCAAATAAGATGTGATGCTCCAATACATAGTCTTGTCATTATGCCATTAGCCATCATATGGTCTTTCTTGCCAAGCCGGGGGCCAACCCCTGGGTCTTACAGACAAGTGCCAAGAGTCACCTCCTAGTCTTCCATGCAAGCATCACAGAGACAACTAACATAAATACTACTCTACTTAGCCAATTAGCATATAGTGGGCCAGGAGCCACCTCATGATTTTTTACATAATGCCTAGGGCTAACCCCTGAGTGTTCCTACAATACATAATAGCATACAGTGTTCTAAGAGCTACCTCCTAGTCTTTCATACATAATGCCTAGGGCTATCCCCCGAGCCTACTTACAATACATAAACCAAATGGGCTGGTATTGGTGCCTTCGACCCATACAAACAGTAAGGAGACTCACCTCACACTACTGAAGTCTCGCGGATAAAGTTGTGGCTGCTGGCTGATAGATCCCCAAACTATCAACATCAAAATCACACACAATTAATAATTAAGTTCCAATGCATAACCATAAACTCCATACTTAGGGTGAAGAGACTATTTTACCCCTAACCTAGCTTAGACCAAAATCAAGGCCCAAACTCAAACTTTGTAGGCCCAAAAGGAAAATAATAAATCAAGGCCCAATGTATGGCCCAATTTTCCAAATTGGGCCTAAACCCCTTACATGGGCCTTACCCTAAATCCTATTTATACACCTGCTCTCAGATGGCCCAACAAAACCCAAACACCTAGGCCCAAAAAGAAGGCCCAATTCAAAGCCCAAACGATATTAGGGTTTTCACATAAAATGAAGATTAGGGTTAAGTAAGAACGCTTAACCCATTAAGGACTTAATCTGTTAATTCCAATATTGTGTTAAGTTAATTTCAAAGGATTATTAATTAATAATTTAAGTCTTATAAATATTTTCAATACGGGTCCCGTTAACTTCCAAATTAGGGTTTCATGACATTAGGGTTTTCTAAACCCTAATTAGTGTTTACAACTTATAAGTTAGTTAAGTAGTTAATTAATTAATTCTACATGTTTTTATAAACTGGGTACCACCCACTACCACCTCTAGCAGTGGTGGACGGCGGTGGTCAAAGGCGGAAGGAGGCGGTAGCCCCCACTTTAGTGGTTAATGCTTATAATTTTTTAACCCAAACATTATCAAAGCAATATTGGAACACACAAAGCACCCAAGGTGGCAGCTTGTTGGTGGTAGAACGGTAGTGGTGGTGGTGGTTTTCTTCAATTTCCGACCAAGGGTTGCTCCTTCACCCTCAAAACAATAAAACACACATATTCACACAAAGCAAAAACACAACCACCTCTCATGGTGGCTTGTGGAGGAAGAAGAACATAAATGACGACAACCACCATGGTTGGTTGCCATGGTAGCCCTTGCGATCTTTGGCCGACAAATGCACACACACCCACTAACATAATCTGAAACACACATCCATACACGAAATGACCCACACAACACCGCCATGAACAAATGTGAAACAACAGCTCACACAAAATATAGAAATGCAACTGCAGCCACCTTCTCATCGACAAGCAATGGTCGGAGACAACAACAACATAATGGCGGCGGACGTGGGTTGAGGGAGCAACAAAAGAAACAGGAAGAGAGTGTGTGTGAACCAAACATGAACAACAACAACATCCATGAACCGTGATTTCCCGATCTCTTCGAGTGAGTTAATGTTGGGTTCATGACCATTCGTCTTCGCCGGCAATGGAGCAATGTCGATGGCTGCTACGGTGATTCTTCGGTGGTGACAAGGAGGTGACCACTGGGAGAGTGGAGATAAGGGTGGGGGCCGGATAGGAATATTAGGGTTACGTTTTTAGAGGGTATCATATGCTAAGATTTTAAACGAGGGGCAAGGGTGGGAGGTGACGGGTCCTAGTTCCGCCTCCATATATCAAACTTAATGCATTTTTAACACTTTTAGTCCCTCCATCCCCTTCTTTTTTTGAATTAGGTCCATAATTTACCATGCAACCTCTGCTTCCCAAAATCCTTTACATTTCAGGTCCTAAAGTTACAATATAAACCCCAAATTCATGAAGTTATATCATTTAACTCTTTATCGCCAACACTGATAAATTACTAAGGATTTAGGGCTAAAATAAAATAAATTATAAAATACATCTTGGGATTTTAGGGCTTATTATTTATTTATTTATTTTTATTAACTTATTATTATTATTTTATTTATTTATTTTATCTTTAAACGAAATGTTACAATTCCCCCCCCCCCCACCCACCCACACACACACTTAAATTAGATTTCATCCTCGAAATCAGCTCCCGCTTCTACTTCCTGATGTACTCCCTCACAGTGACCAAGATGAACGAAAATCTGCATAATCAAACAGTCTCTGAGCTTCTCGACCAAACGCCGACACTCTAATCCCATACCAAAAAGGGGATCACCGCAATGAAAACTAACTAATCTCATATTGAACTGAACCACACTCTTACTCTGGTCCACCAGCCCAGCTGAGAAATCCCCAGATCACTACCACTGCCTGAAACATCATACTGCCTGATATTTGCTTTCCAAAGGTAATCGGACCTCCCTAGTCCTAACTTATCTGTCAACTGTCTGGAATACCGGATTCCTGCCCAGTTGTTGAGCCAAAGAAAAATCTCATAGTCGCCCAATGCGATTTTTGAAAGAGAACTTCGACTATCGAAATCTGCCCTAACCATATTACCACTCTTGGCTCCATTATTCCTTCTGATCTTCCTGATCATGACAGTCCGACTACCTGTTGCCATCGAATCTAATACGAAAAGTGAATGCTACCAGAATCACTATATTCTTACATCACACCTGGTTTCTAACGACCTACCGTTCCCAAATCTGATCGTACTGTGGCCTACTCACATGCATGCGGCTAACCCACCCTAGCCGAAATCATCTGAAGGAATTCGTGAGTGAATCGCAAATCTACCACATTCTCATTGTCGAATAGGGAACAATTAATGCTACAAGCCACCCTACAGTCTTACAGCACTCCCATACTAACTGACCACTAGTGAATGCTATAGGACACCCTTGAAGTCTTACTATACCACTATACTAACTGCTAACTAACGAATGCTACAGGCCACCTCCGCAGTCTTACAACGTTTCTACTCTATCTTCCAACTGGTGAATGCTATGGGCTACCCCGTAGTCTTACAACACTTCTACAATATATGCACATATCAGTCGTGAGCTTAGTGAAGGTGCAATAGCAGCACCGACAGGGGTCAGAATGGACATGGGAGCTTGAGGATGAGATGAAGGAGAATTTTCCAGACTTATTTGTAGCAACAGACTTTGAGGATGAAGTATGATTTAAGTTGGGGGTAGCATCCGAATCCTTGAGGTACTTAAATTATTGAATTCTTTCATTTTGGGAGGAGGTCTCACGATGTAAGCCATAGTGGTCATGACGTGAGTAACCTTTGATCAGTTAACCTACATTCTTGAACCTCATGATGTGAGTATGAGGCTTCATAATGTGAGTAAGGCCTGATGAACCAAAACCCTAATTTTTGAGTATTTAATGGAATGAGAGAACTAGGGTTGCCCATCCTCAGCCACTCTCACTCTCTAGCTTCCTGAAAACCCTAGATTCGACCTCCTTGGGACCTTTGGCCATTGTTGGTCACCTTGAAGAGCTTATTTGGTGGTTTTTGGTCCATTGAAGTAGAAGAGGACTCTTGTGGTGCTTCGTTTTGGCACTCTAGCTTCTACCTTTTGGTCTTGTTGAGCTTTTGGACCTCTGTAAGTCATAAAGTTTTTACCTTTTTCCCTCTTTCATGTTAGATCTAGATTTTGGGAGCTTTCCATGCATGGTTAGGTGGTGTATCATGCATGGGATCCATAAAGTTGGCAACTTTATGTAGGGGTGAGCAAAAACCATACCGCAAACCAAAAAAAAAACGAAAAACCGCATAAACCGAAACCAAAATGAAAACCGATGGTGCGGTTTTTAGTTTTGCAAAAACCGAAAATACTAGGTACGGTGCGGTTTCTAGTCTCGCAAAAACCGCAAAAAACCAAACCGCAACGCATATATATATATATATATATATATATATATATATATATATATATATATATATATATATATATATATATATATATATATATATATATATATATATATATATATATATATATATATATATATATATATATATATATATATATATATGTATATAAAGTGTTGATACTTGTAAGAACCAAGAACTTATGACAATTATATTTTTTATAAATATAAATATCTATCTTATCTATCGGATGATGATTGTATATTTTTAAGTATACATTCAGTTATATTTACAATAACAAATAATGTTTATGATATT